CAATACCCAAGTATAATTATCTAACTGCAGAGCGTGCAAACCCTATTAATGCAAACTCTATTAGTTGTAATATCTTGGGCACACATCAACAACTAGAAACCAAAGACTTTGTCAGCTGAGCCGTGGTAACTAGAGGGGAGGGGGAAAAAAATCACATCTGCCCTGAGGAAATGTTTAAGACTCCACTACCAAGCACAGCAATTTGACTGATGATGGTTGTGGCTTCCAATTGTTAAGGCATCTTCCCTTTAGAGGAAAGAGGACTTTTGCTGTCTCTATCAAGTGGTTTGCTCTGTCTATCGTACTTTTCTTATGATGGCTGGGCCATCTGGCATAATCTGAACTGTTCCTACTTTCCATTAATTGCACTAGGTCTTTTTATAGCATTTCCCTTGCTGACCAAACTTATACTCTTCCCCAAAATATATGCTGTCCTCTGGTCACTCAGAGTTGCAAATGACTTCCACTCTGCTCCTCTAAACCATGTTGTCCATGAGACCCTGGGGACCTTCAGGTCATCATACAACCTCATGATCGAGGCCAAACTCCACAGTCCCCCAGACTCAGATTTAATTTCAAACCCTTCACGTGAACTGGGGCTGGAGGCATAGTGACTGGGAAACTGCTTTAGGAGGCATTTTACAGCTGGTCCCAACTGCTATAAACATGTTTCTCCCCTCTACATGCGCGCGCGCACGCATGCACGCACGCACACACGCACACACACGCTTCCTTTCAGGAACTGAAAAATTCTCAGTGCACTTTCGGTCCCAAGCAACACTGGTAGCCTCAAAAAAAAAGGATATTAATTAGAGGATAGGGAACTTCCCATAGCTTGAAGCATTTGGGAGGATTGATACTTAAAACTTTGTATTTAACAGAGTAACCTTGAGTAATCTTTTATCTCCTGCAGGATACTATGTAACCTAAATGACATTAGTTTGGCTTTTTCTCTAGAAACTGGCAGCAGCATTACAAAGCCAGGGGGACTGAAACAGAGAAACGTTCCCAGTGTGACTGACAGCATAATGACATTCCAGTGGGTGACTGAATTGGTGCAAGGCTAACAAAGGATCAGAGAGAAACAGTAAGGCTCACCATATCATCTACAAATTCATATTTTATTTCATACATTTTTACTTGATTGGATTAGCACCATAGACTTGAAGTTGTCCCCAGGCTGCATACAGTCATATTATGGATGGGGTGGGGGGATGGTAGCTCAGCTCTAGTAAAATACAGGTTCACCTGCTATTGAACTCTGTTAGCTCAATAGACTTGTTCAGGACTAGAACAGAGATTTCTGCGTTTTAAAGTCAATGAGACCATTGTGGGCTGCCTCCCCCCTTGTTTCCTTTCTGAAGTGAATACTTGAACAGTTGAAATGGAGAGCTGCTGAAGGCACTGCATTTCCCTTGATATTCAACCCACACGTGAATGCTCATGTAGGTGTCATACCTAGCTAATTAAATCACCAAGATTGTTTTTAAATAAGCCTCGCTGTGGGGGAGCTGCCTTTTAAGCAGGCGCAATGCAGTCTAACAGGAGAGGCGATTATTCCACTTGATTTATTGTACAGCATTTTAGATTGGTTTCATTTATTGTTTGGAACCACAGTAGGTGTTGGGGACTTTTCACTTGTTAGCACAGTGCTTCATTCAAGTCTTCTGCATAAGAAGTCTGCAGTCCTACAAGCATTACAAATTAATTCATGGATTCAAGAAATAATGTTGCTATACTTCAAGTATCTACATCTCCTGACACTTCTTTTTTGTTAAAAGGGTTTCTTGAGATGTAATCATTATTTTAGTTCTTCCTTTTCTCACTTTTCGTAGTCTTCTGTTGTAAATGTTGCTTCTTTCTTTTCTGCCTGTAGGGTGCACTCTTGTGACAATATACAGTTCAACTTGAAAGCTTTCCCCAGGGACCAAAGGCATCAACTTCATAGAACATGTAAAAGCCATTGTGCCCCACCCCACCTTTAGCTGTGCTGTTTAGCTGGTGGTCTTAATAAATATTTATGCACATCAGCAGCTAAGGCTCTTCTATTTTCTAATTCACATGAATGCAAAGATCCAAGTACTTTTTTTTACTTCAGATAAAACATTCAGTGCCCATGTATCTTTCCTAAATTTAATGAGCGTGAACTAAAATGTTTATATGCTGTAATGACACTGTTTAGTCTGTTTGCTTGCAAACAAAAAATACATTTGAAATTTAAGACAGCCGTTCCAAAGACAAGCAATCCAGAGTTACTGGCACATATATGGTGATATTACCAGTATTGAGTCCTAATCAAAGATTACTACAAACACATACAATAATTTTGGTTTTTTAAGTGTTGATTTACAAAGGGACGATTAACTGGTTACTGATGAGCTGATTCGGCATCTCTGACATCACCGGGACTGCACATGCTAGTAAGAATTTCTCACATGAGTAGAGAACTAGAAGGAATAATCCCATACAAAGAATTCACTGTACTTCAATCTCCACAAGACTAATAAAAAAAATAGTAAAACTCAGTACATCAAATACCAGAACAAACAATCTAAAGCTATTAACGTGAGCATTCATGTACCAAATTGTATGACAAAGATTACATGAAGGGCCTGCAGGGGAACTACTCACATTAATAAAAATTGCAAGATCATGGCCAAACCCTTTGAAAATGGTATCCGCTACACCAAGAAATCTATTGCTCAGTAAAATATATGGCTGTTATTCTGTCTGATTCTACAGTTTTGCTTAGAAAAAAATTTCCAGAATTAGACAGATCTCAGGCAACCAACTTGTCTTAAGTGAGTCAATGAGTACACTGTCAAAATACAAATTTCCTGAACACCCACCATAAATTGTGGTAGACACTGACCCAAAACCACGTGTTTATTTTTCGAAGTCAAGAGTTGATTAAAGTTCTCGAGGTTTTCACATTTCTTTTTAATGCTTCCTTTTTGATACAGCGCATGGAAAATTGGATAAGCACACACTAAAAATATAATTCCAAAGATACTTCGACCTACACAAAAAGAAATCTTTATTCTCAAGGGGGAAAATAAATATTCTCTGGGATCTGTTAAGAAAAAAGGTATGTTTTTATTCAGGATGATACATAGCATACAATATTGCTTGCTGCCTATTTAAAAATGCTTTGTATAAACAATCAAGCTGGACTCTGATTTTCGGTCATATTATACTTTGGATTTCAAGAGCGTCGTCACCATCTTAATTATCATCCTCCGCTACAATATTAGGCAAAGTTAAATTTAAACTAGGTAGAAGATTTACGGTGACTTAAGCCCCTCTTTTTTGCTTGTTTACCTGATGTAACAGCACAGCATTTCTACTTTCCAAGAGAAAGACAATTTATGTCAAAATGATCCAACAAGTCATTTTCATATGAACTTGCCAGAGGACACAACTTTATTAACTTTAAATTACTAAGGCACATGAGAGAAACCTCTTAACAACAATACTAGTAATACTGCCCCATGGCTTTAAATTATGGTTTCACATAGGCAAAGGCTCCCACTTACTCTTCTTTTTATTGAAAAATTAATTACTTCAACCAATCCCTGCCGCCCCAAAAAGTGACATCGGCTTCTTACTGTTTGTTTTAACCTGACATGGTTTACTGCCACTTGGGGGTACTTGCTAGAGTGGATGTTTGGTTACTAATTATAAGATTATTTGAAATTGTTTGTGAAAAACAAGTAGTTTTCTCTGTACTTAAATGAAGGAAATACACTTTTAATGACTGGAGTGTCTGTGGTTGGATGGTGGGTTGATTTTGTAGTAGATGACAACATTTATTTCTATGCTGAGCTAACAACTAATCTAAAATACAATCTTATCTAATTTTCATGAGGAGTACTACTACATTTTAAATATGCAACAGCAACTTTAACTCACTGAAACAGAAAGATGAGCCAGACATGCTGCAAAAACCAGACAGGAGCAGGCATACAGTTCTGCAAAGCAGGACTAAGTTTTTGCCTCCTCCCTCCCAAACTGTTTAATTTTCTTGCAGTGGGACATTTAAAATAAAAGATCTAAGGACATTTTCAGTCACGCTGGTGACAAAAATGATCAGCGTGGTTTTCTCTGGAAACATAGGATTTAGGCCTCGGTCCTACAAACTCTCTCAGCTTGTCCCATAGGAGTAATTCCCTGAGTGAAGTCAAGCAGCTCTCTTTTCCCAGTATCAGAGCCTTTTGAAGCTTAAGATTTGATTTGATGCTTTACAATCTCTGCCTACAATCATCAGAACAACAAGAAGAACCCACGAGTTCCTTAAAATTGGGTCTGCGCATGAATTTGAGACCAAGTAGCTGTCAAAACTACACTACTTTCCAAACAAATCATTTCTAAGATTATTTCCTAAACATGTTTACGAGGCACTTCTCACTGAGAAGCAGGAGTGGGGGGAGTGCAAATCCCTATTCTTTTTTTCTTTATTCAGCCGTGACAACAGCACTAAGCATCTACACAAGAAGCAACCCAAACAGTGCCCGTTCTGCATGAACCACATGCTGGAAATTAAAACTTCAGAACCCATTTCAGGAGCTGACTGCGTTTCCGGGGGAGCCTCCTGTGAAGCCGAGTTCGCTGTGGCCTCCTCCGGGTCTGATGGGGTTAAGCCCTGCGCTGTCCCCTTCCAGGGAGGCAGTTTCACATGAATGGGGCACTTCCACCCTGCCCTGCGCAGGGGAAGGCACTCCGGGATGGCCAAGGCTTGGGGCAGCAAAGTGTCTTTGTGGGACTCGGGGGCAAGCTGAGCAGCAGGTGGGGGGACTACAAGAAAGGCAGCCCGAAAGTGGTAATTTTTGGATTATGATGCTTGATAAAAGTTTGCCCGGGCGCTGCTTGGGGGATGGGGGCCAGCAGCAAGTCATGCTTTTTTAGACTCGAGACCCCCTTCAGAAAGTGCGGGCTCGCATTTCTCAGCCCAGGAAAAGAAGCGGGCGGCTGTGGTGCGGGCGAGCCCCCCGTGCCCTTACCTGTACCAGGCGAGGCCCCGCTCGTAGTGGCGGTCGAAGAAGTGGGGCTCGGCGCCCACGGCCCTGACGTCCGGGTGCACGCGCAGGAACTCCAGCAGCGCCCGCGTGCCGCCCTTCTTCACGCCGATGATGACGGCCTGC